GTTCTGCATTCCCTGAGAATTCATCACTGGCAGGTACAGTCGTAAAGCGAGCGCAGAAGGCATGTAGGACAGAATACATTGTACAACCAACAGTCATTTGTTACTTGCAGTAACCAAGCAGCCAAGACCTCTGCTGCGATTGAGGTTTGCACTTTGGCTATGGATGGTGTTCAGCTCAACAGTTTTTTCATATTCCTTTAGGGGAAAATTCACCAAAGTCCTGTAACAAGAGCTGTTGGTGATTTAGCTTTGAGGTCTATGATTATTTTTTGTTTGGCTGTTGCAGAGGTTTATATAAAGACATCAATGTTACATTTTCTTTGCTGGAAAATTTTCATCCCTCCTTTTCACCTACAAGTTACAAAGTTGAATGCAAAAAGTTTACTGTTGAAGCCTTCATAGAAATGTTTGCAGAATGAACTCGCCAACGGAACCAGATGTCTCCCAGGCAACTACTCCTGAGATGGATCAAACATCACAGATCTATAAAATACTGCATCTAGAAGTTTCTGAGAGTCACTGATTTATGTCCACAAACACTTAAAGTCGTGCACTCGCTAACACACTGTGCACACACACTGCTGCAGGCCATCACACCATTGAGAAAGCTGAGCTGGTTATGAGTCATTCATTGAGCCTTCATCTCTCCTTGACTGTAAAACATCTTGGTACAGATTACAGTGCATCAGAGATCTTGTAAACCTCTTATTTCTGTTTGAGTAATGAAGGACACATGGCATTAAAGATGACTGCCATTAAAAACAGAAACAACTACGTGTTTGTGGAAAAAGTCTCTGTGATGTAATGAAAATCACAGGCATCTTTACTCATACAGCAGACTTCAGCACCTTTTTGAGATTTAGGGACTTAAAGCTGTTATGTGCAGATTTTTATGGGATCAAGTGACTAAAAGAAATCAAGGAAGGTTTAGGCATTTTCATTCTGACAGGGAAAAAAGATTTTACACTGCATTTTGTACATTTTTTATTAAGCTGTGAAAGTTACTAATTATTTACTACATTACAGTCCGTCTCTCAGGATTGGGGAACTTTCTTATCTTAGCTCAGGGACACATCTAACGTTAAATAGTTACTTCACCTGTAACCCACTCACCTTTTCTCTTTTATGTCTTTCATGTTCCCTTTCCTCTCTTCTTCTTTCTTTTCTCTCTTGTTGTTTCTGTTCCATGTTTCCTTTTCGTCAAATGTTGATCTCTTCTTCATTACCCCCTTGTGGCAAATTTGTGGTACTGGTCTAAATAAATAAAAACTGGCTTGACTTGACCTGACTCACTATCTCTCCTTTACTTTCTGGTCTCCAGGTGTAACTTATAACAGTAGATTTTCCTATTATGATACTGCTGCTTTTGCTTTACTAAAGATAATACTTCAAGGACTTCATCCACTGCTGAAATTTGTCTTGAAATCTACTGTTTGTTTTTAGCAACAGGTATACTGATCACCACCAGTGTGTGAGAGGCACGGCAGAGATCAAAGTCAGTTTGTGACCTCAACTCACAGCTTTGTGTTCTCATTCGTTACCATAGTGTTCCCTCTGATATTTACAGTAAATAAACATTGTATTTTAATGAGGAAGGACATTTATTGGCTGTGCTTTGCTGTGGCCTCGTGGGCATTATTTTGGTATTTCAGGGTGAATATAATGGCCTTGTTCAGGTGAAAAAGATCATGTTGATTTCAGAGAATGTGACAGATGAAAGACGGGCTTGGAGACAAGTTTTTTTTAATCACCAATGTGGACAATATGATTTCATCATAGAGGTCGTTTTGAGACAATGGGGGACTTTGTCCCAAACATACAATGAATCTATTCACATTTAAAACTGAATGGTGTGTTGTTTTTGTTTGCGAAAGGCCCTTTGTGGTCAGAGCATCATTCTTGTTTTGTTGTGACAGTAAAAGTGTTGCTGTCAGCATCCTGGATGGTTATTATGGCCAGAAAGATCTGACTGTGTCTGTGTAGACAAAGGGGAAAGATGACAAATCGGTGTCTGATTTATTAATAATAATAATCACTTTTTATTTGGCCGAGTATGTTACACACACACACACACACACACACACACACACACACAAAGCATTTGTTTGCCGCACAGATGCGGCGCCAACTCACACCGATGGCTCTAACCATCAGGGGCAACTTGTGGGTCCAGTGTCTTGTCCAATGCATCATGATTAGAACCTCTAACCCTCCGGTTGGGAGCCGACCGCTCTACCCACTGAACCACAATCGCTCCTCTTATTGAGGAGCAGGAAACTCAGTCTCCAATGTTAAACTGTGAACAGAGGTTGGTGTTCACATATGTTCATCCAGTCTGCTTTAAGCTCTCATCATCCTGATTTTTTTAGGCATATTGAGGAATTTGTCCCTTTCTTTAAGAGGCTTGAATCTACATACATGTGGCCAAACTTCATGTGCTACAAACCTCAAGAGATTTTATCTCTGCTAGTGTGACAGATACTTGGGAAAAGACATCGGTCCTGACTGTCTCCTATCCAATTGGCTATGTGTCATGTAAACAGCCAGTCAGGGGATGTGGGGCCATATCATTTCCAAGGTGGCTCTGTGCCACTGATGATATTTGGTTTTCCATTTGTATTTAATTTGGGGTCAGAAATAGATTCCCTTTGTCAACATTATATGTCCAGTTGTCATTTTGTAACACATGCTGTGTTGGATTACGTTTTGGCATTTATTCATTGTTCATCAGTTTTGAATCACAAGCTTGTTAAATGTCAACATGTGTTAACATCCAAACTGGTATAGCAGTATCGGCTGATATCAGCTCTAAACACACTGTTGTTGTTATGTGTTTATATTGTACCGAACTATTGAAGCTCCAACATCAGTATCAACCTAAGCATAATGTAGCCACTAATATTAGCTCACTATACCCTTTGTCAAAACATAGTAGCTTTTGCATCCATATAATAAATGAATGGAAAACAACTGCTTGAATAAAACAAGTCCTGATATCTTCACCCACACTGACAATGTACAGGTAGGTATACAACAGTGTTACAAAGGCCAGTATTAAAGAGACAGGAAATACAGGTGATTGGCACAAAAAGCAATATTTTCACTAAAGCCTGGCTCAACAATTCAGTCTATTGTCTGTTTCTTTTCCTTATTTATCCTGCTCATCCAGGAAGTGACCCATTGGGAAATGAACAGTATGCAGGTCATGACCTCCCTTAGCGCCTTACACAACACACTGGTGTGTTCAGGGGTTGAATAGATTACAGCTGCTCCATCTGACGTCTGTGCTCTCCATGCTCATAGAGGAGCTGTGAATCGTTGATCTCCTTTCTGTTTTTTTTTGTTGTCAGCCATGTGTTTTGTATTATGCCAGGTGTCTTCCATATTTGGCAGCCAGCCAAAGATTCTCCACTTATCCGGCAAGCATCTGAAGATCATCACTCAAGAGTGCTGTGACACGGAGAAGCCTTGTGCCTGTGTATTAGTGTGTACCCTTAGAAAGTGTTCTAGTATCACTTTAGTGCAACAGATTTGTAAACACTGTCGGTGTGTTTGGATTGGACTAGCAAATTTGGGCAGCAGCACTTTGATTACTGTGACCTGTTGAACTGATATGCTTGCTTTATTGTGGAACCCTGCATGAGCTGACACTTTAAACATGTCAGCAGTTATGAATGATTCAGAAATGCAATCATTTATCGTGGCTGTATTCCCAGACTGCATTTCTCTGCTTGCAGTTAAACCGGTGATGAGGAAAGATTTTGGTAAAGTCTCAAACGCAGCTGCAGTGATCACTTTGTGCTTGCTCCACACCCAGGGCTGCAGCTTTTAAAAGACAAATGTCTTTTGGTCAAAAAGACTGTAAAACACTTTAGGAAGGTCATACAATAAAACCAGGAATGCGTGACTTATAATTAATACTGTGCACTGGACTTGAAAGCTAACAGAATTTGAGATCCAAGATTCCAAAATAAATCTACATAAAAATCTGTAATCTTTTTGCTGAACCTGTCCATTCTTTACACTGTAAATCTCGTGGCCTCTCAGGTTGGCCCTGTGCTGATGAGACCTCCCTTCCAGCTGGGGTTTAACTGATATTTTACACTCAGTGATCATTAACAATCCCTTCAAACACATAAACACCATCCAAGCTGTTAACTTTGAACATCTAAACTGCCAGTGGGGCCTGATGAGCCCATCAATGCTGTATTTTTAATATTACCTCATCATTTAAAATGCACTTGAACTAAATGTGTGGTGAAGTCTTTGACACTAAATGGTTCTTACACTTTACAGTTCTAACTGGTTTTCTGGTGGTGTCTCCCCCACTATCTGGATAATGGGGGAGACACCACCAGCACATACTAGTACAACATACCTGCAACAATTCTACAACCACAGACATACAGTTTCTGAATTGAAAACAAAATGCAGCTGTCAGTACTGTGGACCTCGCCACTCATGTCTTGAAACAAAGAAATATTCCACAAGGGTCCCTAATAAACACGGCCTTTCAGTTTGACTCCATGGTCCTGACAGTGCAATAATACAGCTAAAACGTAAAGATTTACAAAGCTGCAGCTTCTTCTGTTTTACAAAAGTACTTTGTAGATGATTTACTTTCAGTTCCTGTTATGTAACACTCACTGGAAATGAATCTGTTTGCACATGAGAACAGCATCGACTGAAAAAGAGGCAGTTAGTTGAGTGAAGATCGAGTTCAGGAAAATAAGCATGTCACAGTGTAAACATGCCAGTGGGAGGGATTGTTTTTGTGTCCCCTGCCCCTTTACCACCAGGGCCCTGAGGGAACTGCTGGGCCCTTTAATGTGGATGCCAGGGCTGTTTGTCCAGATGTGGGACTCCTGGTCATGGAGAGTCCCTAGCTAACACCAAATTTTACCCACATGTCTTTTTTGGACCTCTGTGCTTCAGAAAAATGCACAATAGACAGAAAATGGTGTTAGAATCATGTGGTATTCTTCATTGTTTTTACACAGGGATCCAGGAGGGTACCCAGTGCACTAAGTGTAGGAATGAATGGGCACTGAAGACCTCTATAGCACTGCTCTATGTCTTGTGTACCCTGCTCACCATTGCTGTTGCTGTACTTGAATATAAAGGTAAGTTAATCTCCTTTGAGCTCTCTGATTAAACTGCCTTTCTGCTCTTGTGCTGCTGAGATCTGATGGGCACAATTAGAGGATAAGAAACACATCTAACCATCACTTATCAAAATTGTTGAATGACTCTGTTACAATGTGTTGAGAGTGTGGGAGTTTGTGCTGCCAAGAGATAAGTGCATTGCTGTTTGGTCAGTTTATGAGTACACCGAGACCTCCTGTGTGAGAGAAGCAGCTCTTTGCACCCAAAATGTTCTTCGACAATGTGTCTTTATCATTATTTAAAGACAATAAATCAGTATTGAAAAATATGATGAGAGAACCACCACATCGACAAGAAAAAAAATTACCTGTTTTCTCTTGGGAGTCTCAGCATCAGCTCACCCCAAAACAAAAAAAGAATAGTTCTACATTTTGAGAAATATGCTTATTTGCTTTCTTGCCTACTTTAAAATATGAAATTACTGTTATTGTTCTCATGCCTGTAAATGTGAAGCTACTACAAGCAGCTGGTTAGCTTGGCATAGCAGAAACAAACACATAGGCTGACTCCACCTATTAGCATCTCTAAAGTTCACATAGTAACAAATTAACATGTTACCTTTTGGACAGAGCCTGTTTCCAGTCTTTATGTTAAGTTAAGCTAACTAGTTGCTTAGTAACTAGTTGCCTTAACATCATAGTTACTGTACTGACATGAGAATGGCATCAATCAGCTCATCTAAATCACAGAAAGAAAGCAAATAAAAATATTCTCCAAAATGTCCTTTAACATGACTTATGAAGACTATAACACCACACATGATATTCCATTCACCTCCATTTTGTTGGGATGGAGGCAGAAATATCAAAACATCACCACATTAAAGCAAAACTATCTTCATAACACCAGAGGTAAGTGAGAAGAGATGTTTGTTTTTTTGTAATATGGATGCACAGACCAATTGGGTTTCAGCTTCTTCTCTCTGCTTTACCTCCTCTGGTTGGCTTGTTCAATTTTTTTTTTCCTAGTCCCTGAACGGGGTCACCAGGGGGGGGGGGGGGGGGAAAAAAATTGCTAAACTAAGTTAATAAACCAGCTCATCTAGTTTTTCTGGTCTTTGACCTCTGGAGATGAAAGCCCTGGGACTGCACTGGTGTTTTAGCAGTTTGAGGGAACAGCTGAGATGCAGCTTCCCAGTAGAGCAGTTAATGCAGTCCCAGTTAAAAGAGATGTTTCCCTGGCAAGGCTGGTGGTAGAAGTGGGCAGATTCCCTGGAGTCCCAAATGCATTCCAGAGGTACTGCACTCTGTTTTTGCCTGTGGGGGTGTGAAGAGCCTCCTTGCCACAGTTTCTGTTTCTTCTGGACTGTCTTTGATCCCCCTGTTTACTGAAAACCCCCTCCCCAGGTCACTTCCTGTCTCCGAGGTCCTGAAACAGTATCTCCCTATGCACCTCTAGCCTCAGTCTCTGTTAGTGACCACCCACTCCTCTATGTTAATCAAAGTTTCTTCCTCCCGTCATCCTTTTTCATAATGCCTAACTTTTCCTGTTAATTGCCCTACAACTGCACATTCTGCTTTTTCTGCACTTCTTTAACCTTGCCACAACCGACATCTGGCATAATCCAAGAGATCATGTTAATCAGATCTATCATAGTTACAAGATATGTAGTCGTGTCTCTTAAAATATACCTGAATTTCACTGGTTTCCTCTTTGATCCATTTCATATATGATGCCTGTGATCAGACTAACTTTTGTTCTACCTGTCCTGTTTTGTTACAGTGGTGCAAAGAGTTGACAGTGTGTCTGAAGGTATCGCAAACTATGGAGGAAAGATAATTGCTGTTGAGACTGATTTGAAAAAGCTAGGTAAGTTGTGTGCATTAGAGGTGAAAGTGGCAATGAGAGGCTAAAACAACTTTCTAAGTAATTGTGCAAATTTTCAGATGATCAAACGGGGGAGAAGTCAGAGAATACCACCACAGAGATCCAGGCTTTTAAGAACAACATCTGGGTTCTCCAGAGGCAGCTGTCTGCGGTGCAGGAACACATCCACAGTGATCAAGTTAAACTGAGTCAGCTGCAGAACATTGACTCAGACATTCAGAGCAGCCAGGACTCCATTCAAGGACTGCTGGATACCAACACAGCCACCTTGCGCTCTGTAAATGGCACCCTGCAGTCTTATGGCAGTATCATTGAGGGTCTGCAGGATGACACAGCCAGACTGCAGAAAGAACTCCACCAGCAGGTGAAACTCCAGAACCAGGTGCTACTCAGCATCAGCAGCCTCAACCTTACTCAGGTCCAACAGAGAGGCCTCATCGCCAGCTTGCAGCGCTCAGTGGACGACACCAGCCAGGCCATCCAGAAAATGCGCAATGACTTTCAGAGTCTCGAGCAGACAGCCCGACAGACATATTCTGATACTCAGTGGCTTCGAAGTAAAGTGGAAAGCCTGCAAATTTTGGCTAGTAATGCTTCAGCTTTAGCAAAGGCCAACAATGACAGCCTGGAAGATGTGGGATCACAGCTTACTTTTATGGCCAACCAACTCCAGAACACCAGTGGCCTGGCTGATGCTCATGACCAGACACTGAGGGAGATAATGAATCGACAAAGAGACTTGAGCAACCTCACGTCCATCAGTTTTGACCGGCTGGAGTTACGATTAGATGAGTCGGAGCAGAGTATGGACCGTTTGACTGGCAACATCAGCTTCACCACACAGCTCCTGGGCGCCATCAACCTCAACATGAATGAGTTACGTACTTGTTCCGAGACAGTTGGCCATCACTCAGACTTCTTGTTAAACCTCAACAACAGCATGATAGAAATGAGAACAGATGCAACCAGCCTGAGGTCCCAGCAGGAAGAGCTGGCAGCACGTTTGGACAAGGAGGTCACCAGCCTTTCTATTGTCATGGAGGAGATGAAACTGGTGGACACCAAGCACTCACAACTAATAACCAACTTCACAATTTTACAGGGTGGGGATGTTTGGCTTCAGTGTGTGTTATGCTAATGAACAATCTGTTTTAAAGGGATAGTTTGTGGGAAATACACTTATTTGCTTACTTGTAAAGAGTTAGTTAAGAAGATTGATACCATGTCTGTATAGTAAACATGAACTCTCAGACAACAGCCAGTTAGCTTAGCTTAGCACAAGGACTGGAAACAGAGACAAACTTCAGTTACGCTAATCGGATAATCAGCTAATCGGTTGTAGCTTCAGCATCCTAGAGACAGGAGTGGTGTCAATATTTTGATCTAGAAAGTGAATAAATGTCTTTCCCAAAATATTTAACTAGTATGTTTTATGTTTCAGGTCCCCCTGGTCCTAGAGGGCCAAGAGGGGACAAAGGACCTCAGGGACCACCTGGTCAGCCTGGCCAAAAGGGAGAAAAAGGTGAAAAGGGTTCTCCAGGGATAAGAGGACCCAAAGGAGAGCAGGGTATTCCAGGATCACCAGGTCTGCCAGGGTTAAAAGGTCTGCCAGGCGCAACTGGCAGCCCAGGGTCCAAAGGCTCCCGAGGGTCAGGAGGCAGGGCTGGACCTCCTGGAAGTAAGGGAGAGCCAGGTACTGCTGGCTTGCCTGGAAGAGATGGACAGCCTGGCCCTCAGGGGGCACAGGGCCCTCCAGGTGTCAGAGGCCCTATGGGACCAGCTGGGGAGCAGGGTCCAAGGGGATTGCCAGGACCAGTGGGGCCTACGGGGCCTCCAGGCCCAGCAGGACCATCAGGACAACCAAGAATCCAAATCCGGGGTCCAGTAATTCCCTTAGGCCCTGTGTCTCTGCAGGATGAAGCAATATGGGCCCCAGGTAATGCTACATCTTCATTCAACATCTTGCTAAGTGTTTTCTTATATACTGTATGTTCATAAGCTCTTAAGAAAGTTGCTAAGAAAAGAACGAGAGGCGGGGTACACCCTGGACAGGTGATCACTCTATCAGAGGGTGGACACATAGAGACAGACAACCACTTAGATTCACACCTAGACCACTAGTTAACCTAACCTGCACATCTTTGGACTGTGGAAGGAAACTCACACGGATACAGAAAGAACATGTAAACTCCACACAGAAAGGCCCCGGTAGCCACAATGTTCAAACCTGGAACCTTTATCCTGAGGTGACAGTGCTAACCAGTGCACCACTGTGCCACCCAGTGATCTTTTTAAAAACATTTTTATGAAGTCTCTCAATGTTTGGCAGGTTGTCCCGTTGAGTGGGTAAACTACAGAGACAAGTGCTACTTTTTCTCAAAAGACCTGCACAGTTTCGATGATGCAAAAGAAACCTGCGAATCAAAGTCTGCTTCCTTGTTGATCATCAATGATATGGAGGAACAGGTGACTAATTAAAATTGTATTTTTCTCCATTAAGAACTGATGAAATTCTTGAGTCTAAGCTATTTACTCAAAGCAAACTGTATAATTGCTCAGCTATGTCTGAGGAAACCTCACTGTGCCTTTTTTGTATTAATGTGACATCAGAAATGGCTGAAGAAGCAGATTTTTGGAAAGGGCTACTTCTGGATGGGTCTGACTGACAGGGAGGAGGAGAACATGTGGCGCTGGCTGGATGGGACTGAACCTGCCTTCACGTCAGTATTAAATCAAAAAGTGCTCCTATTCTATGGAACGTATTCAGTTCCTGGGATAGTTGTTATGTTTTAGAGCTCTGCAAAATAGTCATTTCCAGTGATAATGATAACAAGCAGAGGGTGCAAGCTGTGGGTGAAATAGCACAAAATAAACACACTTGAAAATCTCAGATTACTAATACTTTTTAATTTCACTGAACTTGTATATAAAACATCAATTCTCAATTCCTACTGCCCATTCAAACACACAAATAGAACTTTCACATTTCATTCAGTCTTTATTTATTCAAGGTCGTCCAATGACAGCAAGCAAAAACTTTTACATAAACTTTAAAGTTTATAAAACTGCAAAAAAAAAAGGGGGAAGGGTTACAATTACAGTATGAAATGCATCAAAACAGTATTAAATAAAACACTTGTATCTTATCATTCAGATAAAGGAGTAGTCAGTGCTGGAAATATTAATCAAGTTTTCCAACTTCAGTTCCAGCTGCGGTTTATTTTCTTTTATTCTCCTTCCTATCACTATGGTTTCCCACCACAGATACTGTAAATCTGAAGCATGATTGCCCCCTGTTGTTCACCCACAGACAGTGGAAGCCTGGTCAGCCTGACAACTGGGGCTACGGGCATGAAGTCGGAGAGGACTGTGCGGGGCTCATCCATGAAGGCTTGTGGAATGATTTCTTCTGTCAAGATCTCATAAGCTACATCTGTGAGAAGGAAAAGGAGACCTGTATGTTTTTTTCTGACATCCTCTATCTGTTTTTAATCTTCGTTTTCCTTTCTAAATGCCAGTGGGCTTTTTCTGCTCAGCAAGTGTTTTCAGTGTATTTTCCTCAGAGGTGTCCTAATGTCATTCTGTGTCTTTTCCTACAGCAAGTTCGACTGGATTGTAGCGATATCTTGAAAGCAGTGAGCAGCTAGACTCCCCCCGTGTGGGGCTGGTCCACTGACACAGCACATGGACAGTCTGTATGGAGAGTGCAGAGGGACAGTTTTGTAATGAGCCCAGGGCTGCAGCAGCAAATGTCCCTGCAATGCTGAAGAATTTCTCCTCCAGTGTGAAGCCAAGTCCAATATTTCCAGCAAGTGCAATACGGCAGGCCAATCAAAGGAGAACGATGAATACATATATTTCACTATGCGAGTTTTGTTGGAAAATATAAATTCTATGAAGCCAAATGGACTCATTGTAGTGCTTCTCATAATATTAGTTTTCTTAAAGAATAAAAGGTGTAAAATGATGTGTGAAAAACATCATGTCGCTGATATGCTATCTTTGAGGAACTTGCTATCTAAACTCACAAATGTCTATATAGCATTTTCATTTATATGAATGGGAATAAATGAAGTATTTACACATACAGGAAAATGTCACAATCATCTTGAGTTTTGGTTCAAAACTCCAAATTTACTGTTTAAGATTCTGTGTATAATACAGTATTTTGTTATTATGAGATCTATTTTTTCCTACTACAGACACTATATATGTTTATATGCAAGAATCTGTGGATCCTACATAATAGAAAATGTGCCATTTTCTGCACTCAGGTATTTCCTGTAAAAAACACAAGTTTAAACAACACTATGACTGATGAAGAAAACACTCACAAATAAATATGGAAAACCCATGTTTGTGATTGGTGGTTTATTTCTACATTTACATTCAAATTCAAATAAACATCTATTTGCTGATCCAATGATTTGCACAATGTTCACATTTCTATAATTTTTTTCCCTTGAAAAATAACCTTTCCAATATCTTTACATTGACTTTTATCCCATTTCGCCTCTCAATCCCAGATTCCATGAAATACTATTGATTTTCTTAGATAATCATGGGCTATTCCGTTAAATGACTGACATTTCCTGTCAGTCATTTCACATCCTGTTTTCCTGCATTAGATCAACCCCAGTCACAGTCACTGCTTCAGCTGCACAGAAGATTGAAATGACCTTAACAATAGCACCTTCAGCAGGCGGGAATCGAACTACCTCTCTGTCAACAAGGACATCAGATTATGTCTGTTAAAAAAAACAGCGACTGAAGACTGAGTGCTCACGTAATTTTTTAACTGTAGTCTCACCTACAGTGCCCTAGTGAAAATGCTATTACTCTCTGAAGACTCAGTTTAAGATGCATTCTTGTAAATTAATTTGACAGAGTAAAGATGGAAGCAACAAATTAATGCAGGAGCTGACAAAATGTTAAACTGTGCTTGCTCTAAATGATACAGTATGTGAATACATTATCTTTAAGAAATATGCTTATTATTAACTGCTTTTTTCACATTGCATCATTTACACACAAGGTAAAACAAACATATGCAAAAGAAGCAGCATATTGTCTAAATGTGGATTTATTGTTGAGGTATGATAGAACTATGAATCTTATCCTTTGAGAGATTCTTCCTAGTACAGCGAGACTATTTTTATATAAAATCTGTGCTGATATTCACTGTGTGGGCGATGACGTCGGGACAGCTCAGAAGACAAAAATTAAAATCTTCCTCCCATGTTTCATTTCACAATTCCCTGGAAGCCTCTCATTTTTAATGATCAGTGCATGTTTCAGGCTACAATGCTTCAGTACAACAACAGGAAGTAAGGCCGGAGGGTGTTTAAAAAAACAAAACAAAAAAGGACTCAGGACCTCTCAGTGCTGAGACACTGCAGAAAGCCAGGCTTTGTCTCAAGCTCCAGCAACACTGGGTCTGTAAACATGTTTCCAATGCTACCATTCAGATAGGAATCAATGCTGTAAAGAAATACCTAGAATCAGCTCTTATTTCTCAGTACTGATGGTTATCTCATCAGACTGGTCAACTGTGCAGCTCTTCCGGTCCCGTGCAATGAAGAATTTACGGGCCAATAGATGGAGATGAATTGGTGGGGGGGAGGTGAGGGTGATGTGAAGGTGGCTGGCTTTCAACAAAGGCATGAATGAGGTGGTGCTTGTCTAGTCGTCTTTCTCCACTATGACCTCCCCATGAAGCACCCTTCTCCTCTGCCGCAGCATGTGGAAAAAAAGCTGAGGAAACACTGGCAAAAAGAAAAGCAGGGTCAGCCAATTTTCTTTTTTAAACGAGAACTGGCTAAAGGCACAGGATGTAGATCAGTTGTGCAAATGACTGATATTGCAATGGGCACTATGTGGCAATGTTTGTGGTGATGTAATAAAAAGTCACGCTCTACATCTGCTGTGCTCTTACTCTGTTGTTGTTCCCACTTAGGATCCCAGGCAGAAGGCCGGTCATGTTCTATATTAACAGTATTTTCAGCACTCCCCATACAGAGATTTAAACTGACAATGATTTGCCTCTACTAACGGTTAATGTCTGTCAGTGTATCAGTCCTGGATCATCTTATTCGGGTGACATATTTCTTCATTAGTAAACCCTAGACCTGAGCATGAGAAGCTAGCAGAAGGTAAACAAAGCACAGAGCAGTTGACTCTGACTCATGTTAACTTCGGGAAATTATGGCTGCCTGGAGCCTTTAGGGCAGCATAGTCAGGTTTGGGATTTCATAATGAAAAAAACCTGTCACCCAGTGCAGCGGTGTGTTTTGCTGATATGTTTGTAATCCTTTGAAGAACAACAGAGACTTATGACACAAAGGACTGACACATTGACAGATATTAACCATTAGTTTTAGTCTCTGTATGGAGATTGCTGAAAATGCTTAATATAGAAAATGACCCACCTTGCACAGCTTGAAATCCATGTCATAGTAAATTATATGCTAAAACCAGGTAGGATTGTTTTATGGCAGCATTTGATTTTTGCTGCAATTTAAGGAATTGTGTTGTTAGAAATTCATTAAAAACAAAGTAAAAAAAAAAGAAGGAAAGAAAATGCAGAGGTGTATCCTCTAAGAGGAGTCACTTTCACTTCCTGATTCTGCTCTACAGAATGTGTAAAAATAATCCTTACATGGGATATAGGACAGCATGACGATGATGAGGCAGTAGTAGTAGTCAAATGACACATTATACTTGTTGGGAAGCCTCATGGAGTACATTCCAGATCTGCGTACGAACGGCAGAGCAGCATAAATGGTGAACAGCTCTCCAACGACTCCCAGGGGATACAAGACGATGAAGAGGTTGTATCTGGGACAAAGAAGGAGTCGAGTGTCTTTAAATACAGCATTGTGACATAGATAGCTGCACACAGAATGCAACCACATAGTCCTGCAGTTACAGTCAAAGGATGTTATCACACTCTTGTGCACTGTCAGCCAAACACACAGAAAATACAGTACTACTCTAATTCAATGAGATTTAAAAATGCAGTAGTACACACTGTAACATATGATACCTAAAAAAACTGAGTTCACCTGAGTTCAAGTCTCTGAAACTACTGGAGGGACGAACACCATTCTTTCCCTCATTTGGTGTTGTGACGATGGTGGTGGAGAGCACTGTCTAACACATCAGTCCAAAAACTAACATTGGTGTTTAGGTGGATTACAATCTGGTAACTGAGCCTGATAAACTGTTGTCTTACAGATCTCCAGGGCCAATGATGGGCAGTGACTAAATCCTGGACAGAGAGCTGTGGTTCCCCAGTGTAAAAGGATCTGATTTGGCAGATCACAGCACTCAAATGCTCATCACTACAGTAGGGTGACAGAGGACACATTGTGGCTATTTGGCAGACATTTAAATGCAAACAAACAGTCTCTCAACTTGGATGACAACCAGTTTTTCAGCAGATGCCTGACATGCAGTATGTCAGTTGGTAGGCATCATTCAGCAAAAAGCAGGCAGTTTCCTGTAGAACATGGCTCTACTCCTCTGACTTGGTAAACAATGCCACATGAAAACACGGTCAACATTTGTCAGCATATAAAATTGCACTATTGCTCTTCATAAAATTTTTTGCAGATTGTCATCTTGGTTTTCTGCTTCAGCTGTCTGTCACTTCACATACTGTACTTGTGAAGTAGCGTGCCTCCCTTCGTGACAACATCCGATCTCTCTAGTCCAATTTACGCCATGACTCAGGGCTACAGGGATCCTGTATTTAGTCTGAACCACAGCAAAGGCTCAGGGGAGTGTCTCAGCGGATGTGAGAGAAATGTTGGGTGAACATTCCATGACCAAAACAGACGGTCTTAAAAACAGGAGCAGCTGAACATGAGCCCCTCTCTGGGGGCCTGGCATCTCCTCCACTCTTAAAGAAAGACTTGAAGGGTGGGGGCAGGGAGGAGAGCGCTATTCAGTCCAAAAGAATCAAGACCAGATACAAAAGACTAACTGGCACAAAGTTAAACGGACTCCTGAAGATCACGACTCACTGAACCTAAATATTTAGCTTGCTGTCAGTAACGCTGACACAGAACAATGTCTCACCCAGTAAATGTGTTGATGTAATATGTAAACTTCACTACTCTGCAACAACATAGTCCTGTCTGTGCTGTGGGAAGATATCAGTGTGTACAGCTGATGTTCTTCCCAGTGACTCCAGCTTCAGCTGAGCTACTGAAGCAGAGACACATCACAAGGAGCAGACAGGCATTACGTCGCTCTACAGTCGAGAATTCATCATCAAATTTCATTGATGTTTTCTTCACTCATAATTAATGCTCAGGACTCAAAACAATGTTTTTTTCATTGCCAATTTTGTCAGATATTATGGTTTTATAGTTTTAGTACCTACCAATAATTCAGATGCATGTTAGGTAAAATATATACACTATTCTATTTTAAATTCTATTTTTAAATGACTAAACTTATAAAACATTGAAAGACCTTGAAATAACAAAAAAAATCTGCCTGTTCAGCTCCACATCATCTGTTTTATCAGAGCACAATGTTAGCAATTAGTTCACCCACCATTATCAGAAAATGGCTAGTGAGTTGCTAATCAACAGGCACACACATGCTTTTCCTCTCTATGTGAGTTGACCAATACTTAACACACATATGTCTGTACTACTTCCTGATGTAAAGCCCAGGGAGGGAAGCATGCTGGAGTTGAAATCACCAAATCAGGCCAACACACTGAGAAACTATGTCTGACGCAGTATTGACAAGTCAAGCTCATCAAAATCAAGAGCATTAGCATCTCCACCTGGCCCATTTGATGAAGTATGGCAGGAGGTTGAGCAGGTTGAAAGTGTAGTAGGAATATCTGGTAATCTCTGTCACCGTCCACACAACCAGGAATAGGATTACACTTTCTTCATTCTGGATCTTCATTTAAGTCAGAAAAATGGCAAATATACAAAGGAAGGAACAAGTATAATGTTTACATGAATCACACATGACAAGTACTGCTCTTACAGCTCAGTGTGTGCAAACGTGTGGGTGTAGAAAAGTGAATCTGTGAAATACGAAACAAAGCTATGACAAAGCACAGGGGTTTTTAATCATTCTCTACTGGAACATTAAAGACACTATTTAAAGAAATTACACTGTTCTTCATTTGCTTAAGGAAACAGAAGAGTTGGTGCACATAATAATCACCTGTCTGATGCTGTTGGTGATGAACCAAACCATGAAAATCCGTGAACACACTTGAACCCCAGTTACAATCACAGAAGTCTTCACAAGTCCTGCAGCGGAACAAGAGAAAATAATAATTTACATCTGTACATTTGTTGCATATATAAAAATTTCTTTAGGCATAAATGAACCAAAACCATCACATACCGATGGCACAGTGTCCCACCTGTAAGACAAGATGCAAAACACTGCTATTATTTTGCTGTTATTTTGTCATCACTTTCTTTTCTTAACAGATGTTTCTATCTAATCTCCTATAGTCAAATGAATGTTGATTATGAGCTGCCAGCCTTATTATTCTGACAGCTACATCAGTATTGCATAACTTGAATCATTTTACTCTGTAATACAGCAGCTGATCAGGTCTCTATATGATGCGATGGAACACTCAGATCTTACCTCCACTAATGCAAAGGTCTGGAAGAACTTGAGTGTCCTTGCTATACTTCTGTACAGACCCCTGTGTGTGCCTTTATGGATGTAGAAGCGTATCATTGCCAAGGCCAAAACCAACCACCTGCAAAAACAAAACAGGAAACATTAGTGTGGAGGCAACAGGCCAAACAGAATGGAAGGTTTAAGAATCTGGCCATAATTTCCCGGATCCCATCAGTGATACAAGAGAAGTGAAAATCATTTTTATTCAGCTCTGTGTGTACTTACCCACAAATGCTCCTTTATTTCAAACCTGAACTCTAAGCCTACTGTATCTTTTCACAACTCAGATCTCCAGGGCTGATGATGGGCAGTGACTAAAACCTGGACAGAGAACTGCAGTTCCCCAGTGTAAAAGGATCTGATTTGGCAGATCACAGCACTAAAATGCTGATCACTACAGTACAGTGACAATGGATACATGCAGTTTTCTCTCCATTTCTGCAGTACAATACAAAACCGATTATTGCATATACTTAGCTTATAGTTTATTGCCACTTCTCTGCTTTATTCTATGACCCACAAGCCATTTTACTTCCCACACAGCTTCTTCAGTGACCAGAAGTCCACAGTATTAGATGTTGCCAGTTTTGTTCCTGGAGAGTGAAACAGAGCAGCAGCTAATCCTCTATGCAGAACCCTTTTCCTAATGTCTAAGTTGCGCTATCACCACTAATTAAGGATGAAGAAATGTGCAAAATGTGAACAATTTAAGTACTGAACTTTTAGGGATTACGCTGTCTGTTAAGGTGTAATTAGTGCGTTAGGCACTGTGCCAAACTGGAAGCGCGGTTAGTCTGTATTGGTCCAGCGGGTGCCACTTCAAAATCTTACAGCTGTTATTTTCTTTTTTGAAGCTACACGAGCAGACAAATAGACCTATAGATTCCAGTTTGTTTGTATTGCGAAATCTGCCCATTGAGCATTTTACGGTGTCAGACCTGAGCTCCAGTGTCAGCGCACTCCGGCTATACTTATCACTGCGACTGTCTGAAGCGCTGTGGGCCCTGACGCTGACTCCATGCAGTCAGCCCTATTTGGACACGGCTGCCCTGTCACGTTAACCAAACGCCATTCATTCAACTTGAATCACTAAAATAATAAACTTTGTTTACTACCAAACTATTCGCAACCTTTTTTTCCAGCTCCAGCGTTACGCGGGCCGCTAAATTCAGCGAGCTGAACAGACACTTTCGACTTGACACTGAAACACACAGTCCTATAAACAGCAACACACGCTTACAGTTTTTGGGGAGCAGTTTTTCTTATTGCTACGGGACAGGGGCGTAATAACGCACGTACCCGGCGGTCATGGCGATGTTGTAGAAAGTGAGCCATGCGGTGGCGAGGGTGCTTTTCATTTTCTTCTTCTTGATGTTGTTGTTTTCCTTCCCCTCCACCGTACCGTCCTCCTCGCTGGACGCCATGGTACCGGGGGCAGGGTGGGGAAGTCAGGTAGGGGGTTGACAGCATGGGCCGGCAGGGGGGGGGGGAACAGGGTCATCCATTCACCTATCCGCCCACGGCTTCCCTCTCTCGCGGGACTGGTGCTGCTACAAGTGTGTGGCCTGTTGGTGGTAAAATACAGTCCCTCTGTTATAGCAGACTTCTGTTTGCAGGGGCGTAGAAACTGTGGACCCCGAGAGAGAATAATATTCATGAGCCTCAGTACATGGGAAATGAGCCACTCTACAGAAGCTTATTTTCAGATTATTTTCTCAAAGGAAACAAGTTTTCTTCGTATTACATGTGTGCAACTATACAGAAGTAAGAACTGACAAGTTAAAGGTTTAAAGTGCAACAGGCAGGTGTGATGCCCACTAATGTGTGATCACTTGTGTGTGTGTGTGTGTGTTTAATTTCATTTAATGATTTGTGTTTATAGCTGTGTTCTTAAAAGACTTTAACTTTATACAGTGCTCTGGCACATTTAGAATAGTAGTTGGCAGTGTGATATTTTGAGGTACCAAAGCAATTGTAGGCTGGGGCCTACGTTCTATTGTTTTCACCATAATGGCAGAGAACTCACAAGAAGCAAGCCAGGTCTTCCTTTCCTAACCTGAAGAGATCCCTGATTTAAAAAAAAATCTATCTTGCACTTTCAGTTCAAGTCTATTTATGTTTTTGGTTTTGGAAAATGTTCAGGTTGAATATAAGGGATGACTAATGTGTGTGTTTTATATGATTACAACAATGAAGGTCATCTATTATGCCCAGCTGATTGATAAGATGGAATAAAGTGCAATCACACTGAGATGCGTGTACATACACATCCTTCAGGGTGCAGAGTTAGACAGCCTTTGTTTGAATCCTGTATATAAAGAGAGTAAAGGGCCAGTCCCACCAAGGTACATGGTTGATTGTAGCCTCTTCCATTTCCTATGTCACCTCCACTGACCTGCTGGTCTGGGTGCCCGTGAAGTATATTTTTAATCACCTTTATTTGGCCAAGTATGTTACACACAAGAAGTTTGTTTCCAATACAGAACTGAGGCAGCCATCTGCAGCGCCAACTCAACTGATGGCATTAGCCACTGGGGGCAACTTGGGGGTTCAGTGTCTTGCCCATGGACACTTTGACATGTGGACTGCTGGTTTGACCTCTGCTTGGTTGGTATCAGCAGTCCTTTTCTTTCTCATCTGTATTGACGTGGTGGAGAGGATACGCCACTGCAGACTGACCGGCCAGGGTGAGCACAGCTCTCTGAACACAATACACAAATCAGTAAGTGCTACAGGTCCTGCACTTTCCTCTGCAAACTATTTTTATAGTGGTACCAGGCTGGCTTTACATTACAAAAGCATGGAAGCAAAAAAAAAAACAGCCAAGAGTTATTTATCTTATTTATTCAGAAGAATTTAGAAACCAGTTTGAATTTCTTTGTTCCTACTGTTGAAAAACAATGGTGCATTCAAGGGAATGAGCAGGAAGTCGGTTAGCGCACTTTACTTCTTGTAATAGTGCTGAACTGACAAAACCGCAGGAGTGTTTTTCTATAAAAAGTGAAGTTTCATGAGAAAACGAAAGCCATTTGAGGAAGTGTAATGTCAGCTCTTCCACGAAACTTTAGTTCCAAGCACAGGTTGTTTATAATTTTATGATTACAAGATTTGGTGGTATCTTTTCTGATACTGTTCTTACACAATTGTCACAATTTTAACCAGTAATCACAACAATCATTCTGATTCTTGTCATGTTTATTAAATGTTAATTTAAACACCACATGAAGATCAGCAGCACTGGCAAATGTAACTTCATGTTTGTTTTCCTCTGTATAATCTTGTTGGACTGGACTACTGTCCTGAAAATCCTACCCTTTCCCTCTCCAGTTAATGACATGGCAAGAGATGCTGACATCCCCTCCACTGTCCTCACACATGTGGAGCAGATTGCAGCAGTAACACCCATCACTCCAGCTGTGCCTGGGCAAGGTGTGTCCGCTTCCATGCAACTGGGAGTAAACCAGCTCAATGACAGGAACCAGACTGGAGCAGGGGCTCGACCAGAGACCAGTGGAATAGTCCCAGGGCTACCAGGTAATCCTGGTAGACCATTTGGCGTCTCTGGATTGAGCTCACGACCAGCGTCCACTGCAGTACACCACATAGCTCCATATGCCTACATGGGTCCACTGAGATTCCTGTGTGCCAGTGACGCCCAGGTGGACATGCTCGTGGACAGCTTTATGTTTTGGATGGATACAGTGGAGATGGTGCGGGTGGCAGGACATCCTCTGGTCTTCTATTCGGGCTGGGTGTTCCCCATCTATATCTTCTGCTACCTGTCGTGCCTGCGTGTGGTGGTCATGCCTCAGAACCCCCTGCTTTCTTCACTAAGAGTAGCTCTGCAGGACCTGCCCTTTTTCTTTGTGTGTGTGGGCCTCATTGCCATTTTTGGCTTCGTCACACCCATCCTCTACCTGATGAAAAACCTGTTGGTCTGCCTGGCCTTTGTTTATTTCAACTTGATGACCAAGCTGAAAGTCTTCAACACAAAGAGGATGCTCTTTTAATACATTAAGAAAAGCTACAACACTGAGACATAGTTGGCCACATCCAGGAACTGTGGCATGCCAAGTTTTGATGTGGTTTGTAACCTCATTTATTCCTCACTTACTCTGGTGCCCTCTATAAAACTGATCAGACATCTGATCAGTTTTATAGAGGGCACCAGAGTAAGTGATCAGACATCTGAAATTCTTCTGTCTTAAGGACATCTGCTCTCTGGGTTTATTATCCTGGCACAAATTTAAAACAGCCCGGGGAGTTATTTATAATGGATTTTAAAAAAGCATTGAATATAAAAACTGAGTAGTTTAAGCCCAAAATTCATCATTCAGTTTCTTTTTTGGCCTTGATTTATTAAAAATGGATTTAGAGTCCTACCCCAACTGAGTATTTTATGAAGCTATCACTGATTTTCATTTTCTGATTTAAGACTGCTTGTTTCTTTATTTGCTCTGCCTAAATTCTATGGAGGTTCAGGGACATTTTTTGTGGTTTGACTGCCCTTAACCACCCATGTGACAGGATATTCATGAGTGTCATTAAAAGGGAAAGCACCATGTCTCTGTCACTGTTGCTGCTTGCCACACACCTTAGCACACAGCAGACGACCTCTCCTATGACAGGAAAACTCTCCTATCACCTTTTCCACCACTGAGTACAAACTACACACGGAGGATAATGTTACCTTGTTCAAATGTTGTTGTGGTCTTTTTTCTTGTGCAAGTCCTCTGCATTACTGCTGACATAGGTACGTACTTTTGACAGTTTTTGTTTGTTCAACTGTCAGCTTTTAGATTAATTTGAAATTGGTATATGTGATGTGCTGAACCTGTTCTCTTTTGCTGCAGACAGTGGCTCCTTCCTGATATTCAATGAAAACCACAACAAGTGCATTAAGGTGGAGACTGCCACCTCAGTAACTGTGGCTCCTTGTGATCCTCATGCCAAGCAGCAACAGTTTCGTTGGGCCTCCCAGTCACGCCTCCTCAGTCTGTCCCTCAAGCTCTGTCTGGGGGCCACAGATCTGAAAGACTGGGTGAAGGTGGTCCTCTTTGAATGTGATGAGAGCAGTGAGCTACAGCACTGGCAGTGCAAGAATGAGACTCTGTTTGGCATAAAAGACCAGGACCTGCACTTAAACTGGGGCAACCGCGATGAGAGGAACGTAATGATTTACACAGGCTCTAGCATCTGGAGTCGCTGGAGGATATATGGCACTATCAGTGATCTTTGTTCAAAGGGGTATCAAGGTAGTAAGTCTTTGATTTAGAAAAGACAAAGCAATAATATTTATGGGAGAGTGATATCTAAATGTGCTTCAGCTTTCTAGGAAGGTTAGAAAGGTGTTTTACAGTGCTGTGATGAATTCTCCATGCTGAGATTGTTTTTCAGTGCAGAAAACACATTAATTATATTATAATTAAAATATATTATAATTATATATTCCTATAAGCATATATATATTAAATAATCCTATAATCAGCATACAATTCATTTTATATTACATTTGTAATATATAGAAAGGAATCCAATCGCATTTTCTACCAGGTCAACATGCATCAGGTGTGGCAACTACAACAAAACCAACTATTTACTTGCCTGGCAGCTATTTGTGACAGTTACTGAAACTTCATTTAGTCTAAATTATAAGGTAACTAAGAAACTATTTTCCATGTTTGGTGTGCAAGAGCTTGACTGGTGTGCACGGAGCCCCGACCTTAACCCCATCCAAATCCTCTGGGATGAAGTCTAACTATGAGCTAGGTCTTCCACTGAACATCATAATGCTCTTGTGGCTACAGTCAGGGTCCAAAATCCTGTGGAAAGCCTTTCCAGAATAGTGGCTGTTAATCAACAATCACATATAGATACAATGATCAGGTGTCCATATACATGCAGCAGCTGGCAACAGGTTGCTGACTTGTAGGTTTTACTTGTTTTATTATGTTTAAATGTATTATTTTTCTCCTCAGAGATTTTCACAATAGGCGGCAACACTTTTGGAGGCCCTTGTCAGTTCCCATTTAAGTTTCAGGGGAACTGGTATGCTGAATGCACAAAGGATGGTCGCGCAGATGGGCAGCTGTGGTGTGCCACAGAGACAGATTACGATAAAGCAAAGAAGTGGGGCTTTTGTCCCACACAAGGTAAGTGTGTGTGTGTGTGTGTGTGAATGACTCAGTTATTTCAAGCTCACAAAAGGCTATGTTGGCAGTCCTGAAACTACTGTGATCCCTTTTCACAGTTTTCTGTGACTGATGGTTTTACAAAGAAGACAGAGGCCAATCCACACTTTTTTCCAACAGGTATTCTAAATACATTCTTTTTATAATCTGTCTACTTGGTATCTCTTCCATAGTTTCCTCAGACTGGGACACTGATCCGGTCACAGGGGTTCAATATCAGAGGAACGTACAGTCAGCGCTGACCTGGCATCAGGCCAGGAAGAGCTGCCCG